AAGTCTATGATATAAATTGACAATGAACTAGTATCTATTTCTTTGTTTATTATTATTATTATTTTGCCCAAAGTTACTGAAGGGTTAGCTACACTAGTCACCTCTAAATTAGCAGCGATAGACAACAGGGAAAACAGCTACTCAACAACATCCACTCCAATTCTTGAGCTACTATTTTACCAACGAAACGTGAGATTGATCCTCATGTTATAATGTCATCATAGCTTAAAGGACAAGCATGTTCAGCGATGGAATTTGAACTCTTGACCTGGAGATTGTGAATCGAGCACCCTAACCACCAAGCCCTGCCAGGCTGAATGAACTAGTAATCCCCAGCAGTCACTGTTCCAATGAGGTGAAGTATCCTAACACATATTAGAGACTTAGTATTATAAATGACTATTGAAGTACTCGTCAAAAGCTATAATTCTATAGAGGAAAACTGCAATGAATTAATCCACAAAACGCTTGAGACTTGCTTTTAAAAAGTCAATGAAATAGCAAGTCACTAGCTTTGCTGTAAATATAGAATGTAACGAAGATATTCCGCAGATATTTGAGACTTATAAAAACGGACAACGCAATAGTCATCATTACTTGTTAACTCTGTACAGCTAGAATGTACTTAATTACCTAATTAAATACTCATCACTGGTTGTAATTCTATAAAGCTGAAAGGCAGGAACATTATTCGTGAAATCCTCGAGATTTGCTATTATAAGATAGTTGAAAGGCAGGAACATTATTCGTGAAATCCTCGAGATTTGCTATTATAAGATAGTTGAAAGGCAGGAACATTATTCGTGAAATCCTCGAGATTTGCTATTATAAGATAGTTTATAATGAAGTAATTACTTTCTAGCAATAGCTATAACAAAAGGTAGAGTGTTTCATATATTGTAAAATAGCAATCTTGCTGTCAATGTTTGAATAAGTATGATTCTTGATATAATAAAATATCAGTATCACTATTAATAGCTCTATAGCTATAGTATTCAATACAGCGAAATAGAAATATAATAAATGGTTGTCTAAGATTTTCAAGTACCTTATTGATCTAGTAAATACAAATATAAGTTCACTCATCATTGCCACTGTCATCGTTATTTTTTTTCATTCAGTTAAGAACCCATTAATAACACAAGTGTTGTTATTCCAATTTTCAGGTCTTCTTCTTTATTTGGTATTAATCCCATCTAATTTTGGGGTCGGCCAGTCGGGTAATTTGAATTAACCAAAAAATCTTTTACTGGGGTGGCTGGACGTGGCAGCAACTCTAAAAGATGGGCATGTTCGATGATACACATTCAAACTCACGACCTGCAGATTACAAGTGAAGCTCCTTAGCCACCAGGCCATGCCAGACCCTAAGTAGTTGATCCCTACCAGTAACTCTTTTATATTACTTTTTCAGTTATGTAGCTCATCACTTCCAGTAACTCTTTTATCTTACTTTTTCAGTTATGTAGCTCATCACCAACAGTAACTCTTTTATCTTACTTTTTCAGTTATGTAGCTCATCACTACCAGTAACTCTTTTATCTTACTTTTTCAGTTATGTAGCTCATCACTACCAATAACTCTTTAATCTTACTTTTTCAGTTATGTAGTTCATCACCAACAGTAGCTCTTTTATCTTACTTTTTCAGTTATGTAGCTCATCACTACCAGTAGCTCTTTTATCTTACTTTTTAAATTATGTACCTCATCACTAACCTGTAGCTCTTTTAATTGTATCTCCATAGACATGTTGTTTTTTATTCTTTCTTGTTCTTCTTTCAAACACTTTTCAATCGACTGCCATTCTTTCATTTCTCAGCAGATTATCTTAACACTTGATAGGGTTATATCTTGGTCCAATACGCCCAGAAACATTTTTCATTTTTAGCCTTCTTAAGGAGTTTAGGAGGTCAAAGTTCAAACAAGCCAAAATGTATATTTTGGGCTCCCGTGCGGTCATATTTACAGCAATCAAGATGAAAATTCACACAAATATAAATTTTGTGTTCCAAACACACTGACATATAAAAAGTTGGATTTATTCATTTTGAGTTATTTTAGGGGAGCAAGAGCTCATAAGAAAGCAAAATTTGGGGATTTTTAGTTAGCTACTTGGCCACATTTTGGCCAATTTACATGAGATTTGGTACAAAGGTATTTTTCAACAGGACCCACACACTGACAAACAAAAATGGTGAGCTTGCCTATTTTTAGTAACTATAGGGGGTCAAGATTTCACAAAAAGCATAGTTTTAGGGTTTAAGATAATTTTGTACAGGTCCCATATACATATACATACAAAATATGGGATATCCCGAACGGTTAAATGACCACATAATTTTAGGAATTTTATTCAATTACTTTTCATCATTTCGACCGACTTACAAGGAATTTGAGACAAAGATACTCTTTGTAGGTCCCAAACAGAAATATAAGCAATTTTGGAATTTTTCAGTGACGAAAGTACAATTTGGGCTTTTCGTGTGTATGTCAACCAACTTACATGGGATTTGGTACAAATATACTTTCTTGCAGGTCCCAAGCAGTGATATAGAGAGCCTTCGATTTTTGTGGTGTCAAAATTGGCCACGTTGTGATTGCATGGCAGAGACATGTTGTATTCGCCCGTAAATAATGACCTCTTTAATTTAAGTTAACTAGTATATCACTACAAATAGCTCTGTTATCTTACTTGCAGTTAAAAGTTATGTCATTATAATTACCTTTGTTATCTCACTTTCAGATAACTAGTATCATTTGTTACACGTAAGTGTCCTGCTTGGTTTGTTTGTTTGTAATTAAGCACAAGGCTACACAATGAGTTGTCTGTGCTATGCCCACCACTGGTATTGAAACCCGGTTTCTAGCGTTGTAAGTCCGCAGACATACCACTGTGCCGCTGGGGGGGGTCCTGATTGAATCATACTACCTCTAAGATCCTATAAAACTAACTGTTTAGTTCCATTTGAAGAGAGAAAATTGAAATAATTTTGTTACTTCAACTCAGCGATATGTCTGCAGACTTACGACGCTAAAATTCGGGTATCGATATCCGTTGTGTGCAGAACACAGATAGCCCATTGTGTAGCTTTGTGCTTAGCAACAACCAAACCAAGCCAATACTTTGACTCATATACTACTTAACTAAAAAGTAGAATAACAGAATTAGTAATAGTGATTTATGACTTAAATGAACCGTAGACTAACAAAAATACTAGTAACGACGTACTATTTAACTGACAGAAAGACTAACAGTTAATGGTTGCGATGTACTGAAAGTTATCTATATTTCATACTTTGTAATAATAATAAGAAAACTCACTATATCCTTAAATAATCAGATTAATGTTATGACTTTCTGCTACAAGGTTAATATTAATGTTCTAGTGATTAATGATGAATGTGAAATGATTTATTTGTTATCAGAACTACACAAGAATATACGTTATGTTTTAGTATTTGAAAATATAATGTTTAAAATTGACAGTACCTTGTATTATTACTACTCTGAGAGTACGGGATGAACATTTCACAAGAATCGATCATTCGTTCTTATCACAGAGCTTTCTTGGGCAACTTCAGTCAGAAATGAATACGAAATACGTTCTCTCATGTGAGGTTAAAATCGTTGAAAAAAAAAATCCTCCAGCTGGGCAATGAGGCGTCGTAGCGTGCATTCACGCAACTAAGAGATATGACGTAAGCAACATCAACAGTCGCGCCACCTTGGAGACTTGTGAATAAAATAGAGACAATTTGTGTTTGGTGAATCTTCGAAGCTGAGAGACTAGGAAGAGATATTTAAGATTTCATTTATTTTTAAATCAACAGAACTTATAGTGTCTGTCAACATGCTGCAACGTATCTCAAACGGTTGTAACAATTATCGAGTGATCTGTATAACGTGTTCTCTGCTGAAGACGAAACAAGTGAGTGGTAGATATCTCTTATCTCTGCGCTGGAGCTGCTTTTATTGTTAACTGAAATATTCACTCCAGTTCTTCAGGCCTGTAGATAAACCGTGGCAGAGTAAAGTATTGTTTAACCGAGAATTACAGGGTTAGGTTTAAACCTCAAAACTCCGGTACCTTATCGGAATGCTACGATGGCATAAGATAAGACTGAGATAAACAGAAGGTGAATTTGGGCATGTTCCAAAAAGAAAAACACCCATCTTCTATTAATAGATACAGTGTTTGTGCTTTTACTAAGGTAATATGTTATGATCGTCTTTGTGTAACGTTCATCTTTTTTTTTCTCTAGACGGTTCTAACAGAATCAAACATGGGTTATAACAGATCACTTTTTGCAGTTTTGGCAATGTTTCAGAGATTGAGTAAAACAATTACGTCCAACAACTAATGTCAGTTTAAGTGGTGAGTTATCTATGGATACTAATTTTCGTGAATATGGCCCTGGTGCTAGCCACTTGGTCATCGACGGAGAATATCAACAGCACGGAAGCTTCACCGTTGAATGTGACGGAATCTCTGTTGGCTTCGAATCTGTTAACCTCCACAGCTATAGAGGATTTCATTGCGTCAGTTCTTGGCCCAAAGCGACTCACTCTTCGCTGGTTAATCCCTTTAACAACAATATATGCTGTGATCTTTCTGACCGGGATAGTGGGGAATACCTGCACATGTCTCGTCATAGCCCGCAACCAATACATGCAGACTGCTACCAACTGCTACCTCTTCAACCTTGCAATAGCAGATATGTTGACTTTACTATGTGGTAAGATATGTGTATACAAATAAGGCTAAGTTTGAGTGTGGTTGTTTTGTTTATACAAATAAGGCTAAGTTTGAGTGTGGTTGTTTTGTTTATACAAATAAGACTAAGTTTGAGTGTGTTTGTTTTGTTTATACATATAAGGCTAAGTTTGAGTGTGGTTGTTTTGTTTATACAAATACGGCTAAGTTTGAGTGTGTTTTGTTTTGTTAATTAAACGAATTTAATTCAAAGCAGAGTAATTATATATATTATTCAAAATTCTTTAGAATATTATTTTTTCCTGGCTTACCACGGGTAGTTTGTTTTAAAATTATCTACATGTGTCCAGTAAAAACAAATCTGATTTATTTCTTGTGTATAAATTATTTCATTACGAAGTAAACAAAATCAGAAACCTATAATAACAAAACAAAGCTGAACTTATATTTTAAGCTGACGTCATAACTTGATTATAGGTAATCTGATTATAATTAAGCTTCAGGTACGAGTAAGTGAAACTAGAATATATATACACCTAACACTAGGAGGGAGTTTTTAATAACAAAGTTTCTATTTACAGTTTGCTCCAATCATACTTTCATACTCGAAAGAGCCAAATATTATCTCCACCATTTGAAGATATTCAGATATTATGTTTCCTGTATCCCAAAAAATTTCTCTTGTTACAAAACAATGTTTCCTAGACTGAGCTGTGTAAGAATTTCATTTCAAAAACTGTTTAGAAACCTAGAGTAATTCTTTTATATTTTAGATTTAAAGTAATACCTAAGCCTGAACTATAAAAAAACCAACAAGACATTTTTCTGCTTTGTTCTCATTCAGCAACCCAGTAGCTCAGAAAGCATGTTATCTTGCTGAAATACCACATCATTCACTTATATGATATAAATCCCATTTGCTAGTCATTTGATATTGATTGTTTTCTATTTTATAATCTTTTATTTCTGAAACGTTTTCTGATTGGTTCAATGCGATCAAAGTCACAAAACCAAAAAACTCATGTAATTTCGAAACAACAACAAAAATCATTCATTTATCATGAAGTTTGTGATTGTATTTTTTAATTTTCAATTAACTTTTGATGTCAATTTACTTTATTTACAAAGGGTAATCCAGTGAAAAGTGTTTATAAATTAGTTTTATCTCAACGAGCTACAGATCGATCAGTTAACACCCTTAACATCAGATAACTTTATATTAAGGTTCATAACAGGTGGGTCTGCGGACTTACAACGCTAGAAACAGGGTTTCGATACCCGTGGTGAGCAGAGCACATATAGCCCGTTGTGTAGCTTTGTGCTTAACTTCAAACAAACAGACAAACATAACAGGTGGTAATTTTTCCCCTGAAACTATTTAAAAACAGCAATATTGAATACCGTGATATCACTGCATCTCCTTAAAATACGATGACTTGATTTTCTGTATATTTTACAACGAAAATGTCAGTTAATTTAGATATTATAAATACTTTAAAAAAATACTCCCTGTAAGAATTTCTAGTCTTGCTGCTCCATGATTTTCAATAACAATTTGTATTTGTTAATCCGAAAATAAAATAAGTATATATATATATATATATATATTCTCTATTAAGAATAACGTTA